GCTGACTGATGTGCACGATGTCCATCGCGGTGGGATTGGGAAGAGCAGTGCTTTGGTGTCCCAGCAGGCAAGTTAGGATACCTGAGTTGAAGTTCTGTCAAGTTTCCTTCCGATTGTCCTAAGATCCCAATTTTAAGGTAATTTGGAATCATGGAATCAACTTGCTGCTTGAATAGTGTTGACAGACAAATTAGAAATGCTTGTTTGGAAGGTATGCTATAAACAGATTCTTCCCAGGATGGACATTTGTTCCAGCTACGTTTGCGGGAGAGAGGAATCTGTGTTTAAAATATCTTGTGTGTGATGAATCTTCCCCGTTCCTTTGAAATTTCTGAATATATGTGAATTCTTATTTGGAGCTATTTTTTCAGCTATAATATAGCATTACCTTCTGCCATTGTTACTTAATGTAACAGTGTAAGCTGTCTTTACAAGTTAATACAGTTGTTTTCTTTCTACATCTTGAGAGGCAGAGAATCGGGGTCTGAGCCCTGAGACAATGTGGCTGCTAACTAACTCCTGTCTCCGTGAAGCCAGAGGCAGGGACTGGGGCAACTCACAGTTCAGGGATTTGGTCTCAAGTTTCGCCAGCTGCTGATAAGTTTTGTTAATGTAGCCCAGTGTTATTGTGAAATACCCCCAGAGCTCCGTTCTGGGAGAGCCGAAGCTCGCCATGTTGCTGGGAGCCACAGTCAGAGCTGCACTACTTCCTATTTGGTACAGTCACGTACTTCTATTGACGTTGCAGCAGGGACGGGGCTGAGAGTTGTAGGGGATGCGTGCTGCAGAGAGCAATAAAGCCATGGGGTATGGAGGGTAGACAGGCATTGTTTTTTTCACTTTATGGATGTTGTTCCGAAGGGAAAGGCTTTTGTTACTTGTTGGCTTTGATATTTTACTAAGAAAAGGAAGAGAATATATTTTTTCCCCCCTTCAGTATTTTGAAGAAAAGCTCTGATGAGTTCTTTGTTGCATCAGGGCTGCTTTAGCTCTGGGTACGGGGCAGGAGCAGCACAAAGAGGCTCTGGAAGCCTCGATCCACCTGTGGGACAAACTCAGAGGCAGCAGCAGCAACACGGGCTTGGCTGACATTTGTTTGCATCCGCTGAAGCCGTTTGTGCAAACAGCCTTATGCCTGCACTGCCTTCTAGATATGGAAACCAATCAACATCAGAAATAAAAAACTCTCTGTGATTTAAGCTAGGAGCAGTGCACTGACTATGATTGCTCCCAGTGCAGCTCGTGACTTCTGTAGGGGGTGGGATGAAGTCTCCTCAGCATAGCTGTGCCTGGAGGAGCTGCACGATAGCAGTAATAAGGATGGAGCTTCTGGAAATTGACAGGGAAGTTCTTCAGACAGGAGCTCTGAGCCTGCTTAGTGAGTCCAGAAAGTGAAACTAAAGTAACAAAAAATCCCGTTTCACTTTTGTAGAAATGTATTGATTTGTATGCAGGACAGAACAGAGGGGAAACGATAGTTTGAATGTCTATTATACAGGGGTTTAGATTTGGGATTAATAACCTGTTTTAGGGTTGCGTTCCACTTCAAAGCGTGCTCATGTGCTGGGTTTGAGTGCTAATGCTCCAAATGTTAGAAGATTGTCCAAGGCATAGTCAGAAAGAAAGCATCTCTAACTTAAGATCAGGGCTTTGTGTATATTACGGAATTGTGCTTTAAGCAGCTTATTTAGTCTTTGTGGTGGAGTGAACGCAGAGCATCTTTTCTCCCTGCTATAAAAATTGTAATGTCTATTGAGAGGAGAAGATTTTGACTTAAAAGCGTGATTAGTAGTTGAAAGAATGCTTCTTTGTTGTCGTTTGTTTATCCATTATAATGTTTGAATAAAACGTGAGAATGAGATCTTGTGATTGCAAAAGCTCGAGGAGATGGGGTCAGGCTATCTGCTGGCAAGTTACAAAGCTAAATACCTGCTATGATTTCCAGAAGTGCTGAGCTCCTGCTTTTTTGTTGTTTTGCTCTGTAATAGCTTGCTCCAGTCAGGTTGCTACAGGCACAACTGGGGGTGAATGCACAGGGCTTTTTTGGTTTGAGGCTTTGTTTTGTTTTTGGTTTTTTTTTCCCCCCTAAATCACTGGAGAGTAAGAGAGGTGCCAGGCCTGCACAGGAAAAAGGATGCTCGTGTTTGATCAGGGATGGGCTGGGCAAGTTGGGGGTGCAAATCCCCCAGCCAGACTGGCACAGCTTTGTTTGGGTTTCCGCATGTGGGTGGGAGAGGATGGACAGCAGCTGTGCGGTCAAGCAGCTGCCAGAAAGGGATGGCTCTGCTCTCCTGCTGCTCCTGCATAGGTGGGTGCTCCCCGGCCTGTGCTGTGGGCTGGCTCAGCTGGTAGCTGAGGAGGAATGAAATGCTTCCTGCAGGGCAGCCGGTGGCATCGGCTAATGCACAGACCTAGGGGCTGCTGGAGCTGGGACGGCACAGCCAGACGTGGGCATCAGCGAGGGAGTGGTGTCTTCCTCCTTCCAAAGATGACAAGCCAAGAGGTTGGGTCAGCTTGTCCAAGGGCAGTGTGCTTGTCTCGAGCAGTTCTGGATGCTTGCTTGTGCTAGAAAATGCAGTCCTGTTGGCATCCTTTGCACCAGCTCACGGTGTTCCTTGCCCTGCAGTGGGATGATTCTGCTTGCTGACTGCAGGAACAGAGAGCTTAATTTTTGCTGCTTCTGGAGTTGAATGGGCTTCCAATGGTCTCAGCCAACGATGGGAAGAAGCAGGAGCTGTATGGGAGAGGAGCAGGATGAGCTCTCTTCCACAATCAGTAGACAGTTGACTTCCTTGAATGCGCTTTGGTGTTGTTTGCATTTCTGGAAGTTTGGTTGCTTTTAGTCAGAAAATCAATTTATTAATGTTGTGTGGAAGTGCTTTAATAACCCCTCTTTAAATCTGTGATATCTGGTGAGATTTTTCTCCTGACTGCTGTTCTTTAAGTTGAAGGGGTTTAAACCTCTTTGTGAATCAGAATTCTAGTTTTCCTATGCATCTTGAAACAAGTGCAGAAATAGTGCTTAAGAAATATGTGTTCTAATAACACTTTTTAACATCCTCAAGCTTTCTATTTATATTGTGCCATGCAATTGCTTTAAAATAATATGGGTAAGTGAGTATAGCCTCCCCTGGAGGAAGCAGCAATAAAGTTAGCATGATTGCTGATGTTATTCCGCGTTGAGGTGTTCTGGCAGTTGGGACAGAGCTTTTGAGTGATGCTTAGATACAAAATAAGGTCAGAACAGCTTAAAGTGAGGTTTCCTGCTGATGAAAATTGGTGATTCGCATCAATCCATCCTGGTGAGCAGGACTTTTG